CTGGGCTGGAAGTGCACTAAGTGAAGAATGGCCCTGCTGAGAACCGTGAGAACTATGGCCTGATGATGCCCCACGATAAACCTGGGTGAGCTGACTGAGCATGTCGGAACTGTCGGCCTCTGCCGTGCTGAAACTGGCCCCTAGAAGGAGCACCCCCAAAACTACCATGTCCTCGAGGCCTCTTAGCCTCCCTCTCCTCGCGCTCCTGGCGACGAACTGACTCAATCTCTTGAGCAATATCCACAACCTCCTCGAATGTAGCACCTGACACCCTCTCCCTAGTCATAAGAACTCGAAGCTGGTAGGTGATGCCATCAACAAACCTCCTGATCCTCTCTCTCAGTAGAAACCAGCCAAATAGCATGTCGAGCCAACTCTAAGAACCTTATCTCATACTGGGTAACTGTCATATCCCCCTGTCGAAGCTGCTCGAACTACCTACGCAGCTCCTCCCTGCGGGACTGTGGGACATACTTCTCCCGAAATAGAGCGGAGAACTGCTGCCAAGTCAGAGGTGCCGAACCAACAGGCCTACGCATCTCACATGCCTCCCACCAAGTGAAGGCAGATCCGGTAAACTGAAAGGTCATGAATGCAACCCCGCTGGTCTCCAGAATACCCGCAGTGCGAAGGATCCGCTGACATCAGTCTAAGAAACCCCGAGCATCCTCGCCCTCTGCACTACTGAAAGTAGGAGGCTGGAGTCTGCCAAATCTCTCCAATCTACGCTGCTCATCCTCCGGCATAACAGGAGCTACATAACCCTGAGCAGCTGCGACCGACTGGGCTAGTGATGCCTCCGGTGTCTGCACTCCCCGAACCACCAGATCGGGTGTACGGGCGGCGGGAGTCTGAGAGCCTCCCCCTGCCTGAGAAGTAGTTGCGGCATTAGAAACCGCGACCGCCTGAGCAAGGCTAGTACATACTGTCAATATCTGGGCTAAAGTCTCCTGAAGACCCGGAATCACAATAGGCACAGTTGGTGCCTGAGCTGGTGCTGCTGGAGCGTCCACCACTGGGACCTGACCCTGAACTGGGGCGGCTGGTGGGTCTGCAGGTGCTGTCCCAGCTGCTGCGGGGACTGTACCTCTGCCCCTACCACGTCCTCGGCCACTTCCTCGGCCTCTAGTGTCTCCCGCTGGTGGTACTGGTGGTCGTCCGTCCTGACCGGTAGAGCGTGTCCTTACCATCCGTGAGAGAATAGGATAAAAGAAGTTTAGTATTCGGATCAACAACTTCGCACGACAAGAATTTCAAGAATATGGAATTTTCCTAAAGGTTCTGCAGCCTCTCGAGGATAAATACAGACGTCTCCGTACCGATCCGCGAGACTCTACTAAACCTTCTCATGACACGTGAGACCTATGTAACCTAGGCTCTGATACCAATTTGTCACGACCCTAAACCCAAACTCGATCGTGATGGCGCCTCTCATGAAGACAAGGCCAGCCGACACACTTCCAATTCACCTTGAGCAGTTAAATTAATAAACCAAGGTCTTTAATATAAATAAATCCCAAAAATAACAATATAAGTTGCGGAAATAAAATAACCAACATAGCCCGACATCGGGGTGTCACCAGTCATGAGCATCTAAAATAATACCAAAAGTCTAGAGTCTAATCCACTACTACATAACTGAATCAAATGAAAACTAAAATAGAGGGAGAGTGCACTGGGCTGCGAATCGCCAAGCAGCTACCTAGTAAATCTCCGAAGACCTGCTGGAACTATCAACCCTCAGGAGCAGGACCTGTAACGCCCGAATCTGCACACATGGGTGCAGGGAGTAAAGTGAGTACTCCAACTCAGTGAGTAATAAAATTAAATGAAGACTGAGTAATATAAAATCACGTAAGACACAACATTAAGCTAAAGAGGCATCAGTAAATATAATTAAGAAGTGAAATCTCATAAACATTCTTTAAACAGTTAAACAATATGCAGGGAGAACAACAGAAAAGTAAACACACAATAACTGCCCCTCGGGCAATGTCACAAAACAATACCAGCCCCTCGGGTTATATCTCATATCACAATGGGTACCCGCGCTCACTGGGGATGTACAGACTCCGGGAGGGGCCCCTTACAGCCCAAGCGCATAATCAAGCCATCTCATGTTATCATAAACAGGCTCTCGACCTCATATAAATCTCAAGCCACCTCGTGGCGTACAATCTCAGGCCCTCAGCTTCATTATCATAATCAATGTATCACTGTTACAGCGTGCAGCCCGACCCAAATGTATCCTCACAACATAAGCCCTCGGCCTTACTCAGTCAGGATCTTATAAGCCCCTCGGGCCACAGTAAAATATGAAGCTCAGCTCAAATTAATTTGAAAATATCATTTAATGTGTTTAAAACAGAATAATACAGCTGAGTCTTTAAAATAGTAAAATATAGTATGACTGAGCACCAGTATGAAATCAATCAGTGAGGAAAATATCATTTAAAAATTCCCTAAGGGTTCAAACAGCTGGCACGAAGCCCACATATGGTATTTAGCCCATCAAATATGCAGTAAAATTATCATTCGGGATGGACTAAGTCACAATTCCCAACGGTGCTCTACCCCACGCTCGTCATCCAGCGTGTAAGTCACCTCAACATAGCCGTACGCTGTAAAATTTTGGGGTTTCACACCCTCAGGACAGCATTTAAAATCATTACTCACCTCAATCCGGCCCGAAATCTATCTTGCAATGCCTTTGCCCTTCGAAATGACTTCTGAGTGCTCCAAATCTACCAAGTTCAGATTTTATCATTAAATTATGCTAAACGTAATTCCAATTGAAAAATATCGATTTTAAGCACAAAACTCGAAATCAGTCAAAACCCGACCCCCGGGCCCGCGTCCCGGAACTGGACAAAGTTTATACCAAAATGTTCATCATCATCTCACGAGTCCGTAAATATAAAGAACTCGAAAATTGGAGTTCGTTTGACCCCTCAAATCATCCCTGAAAGGTCTCATAATTCTTAAGCCCCACTCCACCTTTTTCTACTAATTTTTATGGATTTACACTGATATTTTCGTTCCTTAATCACAAATAATCAAGTTTTAGGATCCAAAATCCTTACCTCAACGAAGAACAATAATTTCCTCTCTTCAAAATCGCCCAAAGCTTCAAAATTTCATTTTAAAAGTGAGAAACCCTCTGAAAATCGCGAAGGAGGAATTTAATATAATCTGACCGGACATTTCCGCATCTGCGGTACTCCCACCGCATCTGCAGTACCGCATTTGCGGTTCTTGATCCGCTTCTGCGGAAGTCACTTAAGATCCCCGTTGGTCGCATCTGCGGTTAGACTACCGCATCTGTGGCATCACAGATGTGGTTCTCCTAGCTGCTTCTGCGGTTTCCTGACCAACGAACCTCTGGCCGCTTCTGCGGCTCTTCCTTCACATATGCGGCGCCGCACCTGCGGTCCCCTATCCGCAGGTGCGGAAATAACAGAAGCAGCAAAAATACAGCAGCTGCACAAATTCTCCAAACTCCCTGTCAACTATCCGAAATCACCCCGAGGCCCCCGGGACCTCAACCAAAGGCACCAACATATCTCGTAACCTTATTCAAACTTGTACCAATCTTCAAAACACCTAAAACAATATCAAGACCACCAAATCTCATCGAATTCAAGCCTAAGGTTCTAAATTCTTCCGCATCCCGCTTTTGATAAAAAAAACCCAACCAAACCACGTCCAAATGGCCTGAAATTTTGCACGCACATCCCAAATGACATAACGAAGCTACTGCAACTTCTGGAATTCCATTCCGACCCCTATATCAAAATCTTACCTATCAACCGGAGAACGCCAAAAACTCAATTTCGCCAATTCAAGCCTAAATCTACTCCGGACCTCTAAAACACATTCCGATCACACTCCTAAGTCCCAAATCATCTCCTATAGCTATCCGAACCATCGGAACTCACATCTGAGCCCTCTAACGCATAAGTCAACATCCGGTTGACTTTTCTAACTTAAGCCTTCCTAAAAGAGATTAATTGTCTCAAACCTTCTCAAAATCTTTCCGAACCCGATCCAACCAACCCGATCACATTTAAAACCAATAATTAAGGCAAATAGAAATAGAAATGGGGAAACTGAAGCGGTAACTCATGAGACGACCGGCCGGGTCGTCACATGATTGCAGACATCTACCTGGAGAACAGGGGACAATATTTCAGAAATCGATTGTAAGTTCAAGTTGGGGAGGCATCAGGAGCCCGCCTGAAGAACAGGGTCAACTTTCAACTTTCAATTTCAAGTTCAAGAGGCATCAGAAGACCGCCTGAAGAACATGGTCAATTTTCAGTTTACAATTTCAAGTCGGAGAGGCATCAAGAGCCTGCCTGAAGAACAAGGTCAACGTTCACTTTCAATTTCAAGTTCAAGAAGCACCAGGAACCCGCCTGAAAAACGGGGTCAACTTTCAATTTCAAGTTAGAGAAGCATCAGGAGAATTCCGCCTGAAGAACAGGATCAACTTTCAGTTTACAAGTTCAAGTCAGAGGCATCAGGAACCCGCCTGAAGAACAGGATCAGTGTTCGGGTTTCAATTTCAAGTTCAAGAGGCATCAGGAGAATCCTGCCTGAAAAACAGGGTTAACTTTCAGTTTTCAAGTTCAAGTCAGAGGCATCAGGAGCCCACCTGAAGAACAGGGTCAACTTTCAATTTTCAAGTTCAAGTTAGAGGCATTAGGAGCCCGCCTGAAGAACAGGGTCAACTTTCAGTTTTCAAGATTCAAGTCAAAA